ACACAGATTGCATTTATAATTTGCTTCTAATTTAAAAATAAAAAATAAAACTATTAGATTAAGAAGCTAGAAGTTGTCAGTTATGTTTAAAATACTTAGACTGAATTTGGTTCATTTTTATAAATATGTATGTATGTATGTATGTATATATATATATATTTATAGATCAGTTATTTGACTATTTCTATAGTATTTTTGTTCTACTGTATATAGTGGGACAATTTGGTGGACTTTTTTATATTACGAAATTTACCCTGGGACGATTTGGTAGACAATGTAAAGAGCATATAGAAAAAATAAAAAAAGTTTTTTTTTCAAGGAAAATTGGTTTTTATGAAATACAAGGTATTGTTAAGGATATCATCTGTAAAAAAAAATTATTACTAAAAAAAATGATATATTTACTATATCAGTGTATAAAATTTGCCGATCAATTTTTGTGCATGTTGTACAAACTTTTTGAGGAATTGTGCAAAAGTTTTTTAAAAATTGTGCATGTATGGACAAAAAATTGTAAGTATTTTAGTTTTTTTGATTTTTTTTGTGCATTATACATAGAAAAATGCAATGATGCATTGAATTTGTGCACTATATTTAAAATTTTTGTTGAGAGTCTACACAAAAATATTTATCTTATTGTGCATAGTTTAAGAGGGTTGTGCACTGTGCACACTGTGCACATGAATTTTATACACTGCACTTGACATAATTAAAAACACTTGACATAAGTAAAACACTTGACATAAGTAAAAACACTTGATACAAGCAGCAATAATGATAATGATAAAATAGGATTATCAAAAGTTCCGAATTATGTAAAAATATGTATACTGGAGATGAATAAAGAATTATTACATTATTGTATGAATATTACAATGATGCAAGAAGAATAATTATCATGGGAGAAGTTTTACTTAAATAAACTACTACATATTTTCTTTTCCATATATTTTTAAACTATTCTTTTATTATTATGGTATTACATTTTATAAAATAAAATTGTCTTTACATACATATGAGTTGTGTTGATGTTTTTTCAAAATTTTGACCTCTGAAGTTAACTGCACGTAATAGTAATGTGCTTGAGCTGTCTTTAGTAGCAACATAGGTTGACCTTTACACAGGTTTTGTACATATTCTTTATTTTTATTACTTTAAATCTTCAAAGAATGCTGAAATTCTTTTATTGTTGAATCATGATAAATCAATCACTAAAGCTTGATGGTGATGAAGTTATACTTTAATTAATGCAATTTTCATTTTCCAATTTACATCCTTATCAATTAATCCTGTTAGAAAAAAATTTATAAGGCAATCAAATATCCAAAATTCTTAATGAAATTTTATTTTTTATGATAACTAAATAATATATAATATATAAACTGTTACAACACCCAAAAC